GGGTCAGGCGCACCCTAGTCCTCAAGCTGACATCTCTGCTCTTCAACACTTTAAAAAGTTCCTGTGCAGCAGATTTGCCCAGTGCAATACGTAGGTAGGACTGGTAGCACGCTGTAAAAAGGAGAGGTGAGAGGGAACAACATTGCCTTGTTCTAGATCTTTGGGAGAAACCTAGCTTCTCATCATCAAGTATGATGTTAACTAGGTTTTCTGTAAATGTTCTTTTTCAAGTTGAGGGCATTTTCCCCATTCCTAGTTTGTTGAGTGTTTCTATACGTTGGACACCGACACTTTCAAACCTAGCTTTGAATCAATCCACCCTAGAACCTCTAGGTGGCCCAAGATTTAGGTAGTCAGTCATTCATTAACTGCCTACAACTAAATCAAAAGATCAATACCGTAGTGCAATTAGGGATAGCAGCACCAAGATACAGTAGGATGCTGAGCACAAGAGCTCCAAAACGGAAATGCCAAATAAAAGCCTAGGCCTTGGACCAGCAACTTACTTAAACGTAACATCTTTTGTCACTTGTCTATATTCTATGACCTTCGGCAGTTAAAAATTTTAAGCTTAGAAATACACAAAGAGTGGCTCTTTGTGGTATTTTGTTACAGGAAGAGGTAAAAAGATTAATTGGTAGTTATGTGGGATGCTACCATATCAATGGTGTGGCGCTATGCGTTAATGCGCCAGGTTGCAAAGCTGGTTGAACTGCAAGGTCGGCGGTTCAAGCTCAGCAGCGGCTCCTCGGACACCGTATACAGGGTCGCTATGGGTCGGTACCGACTCGATGGCACTTAACAACCACCATATCAAGAGTCCTGGTGTGGCGCTCTAGGGTAAGCACCGAGCTGCTAACCACAAGGTCGATGGTTCAAACTCACCGGCCTCTCCTTGGAAACCAATACAGGATTGCTGAGTTAGCAACCATTCTACAATACTTTATAACAACTGTATCAATCTTTACTCCGTTTCCTCTCGCAATATTTCTCTCCTGCCTTCAGCCTTCTCTCACACAAGCTATATATGGTGGTGGTTATGTGCCGTGGAGTTGTTTCCAACTCATAGCGACCCTGTATAGGGTTTCCGAGGCTGTAAATCTTTACAAGCTATAT